TCTAAAGCGCATCCGCCTTCCAAGACAATGTTAGTTGTAGAGTCAGAAAATGTAACTTTTTGAAATAAACTAATTAGACAGGACATAAAGCCTGACAATCTAAAATTCAGCCTAATGTTTGCTTTTTCGTCGGATTCTTGTAGAAAGGGCTCCAGAATTTCTTAATTTTTTGAGAATGTCTTTTTGAAAATGCCTGGATGTCACGTGACAGATGACGTCTCTTAATAGAATAATGAAAAAACAAAATAATCGTTAGCTATTCAATGGGGAATTATTCTTAATGAAAACGAGATATTTCGACTCGTCTTATTGCAAGATCCCGATTCATGTATATCTAAACATGATTTGCTAAAATCGGCCTTTTTCAATATGACGACATCACAAATTTTGCATGAAAGACCCTATTGCTATAAAACGATACATTGGCATAAATTTGTTTCATAATGACGCTGGAAAAAATGATATAAGCATTTCTTCTATGCTTTTTCAGTCAAATTCTTAATATTTAGTTAATTCAGATCTAACTTTGGAAAGTAGCAATAGCCAAAATTTGAAAAAGGAAGTCACTGTTTCACGAGTCAGTCACGTCTAGTTCGGTAAACGAAAATTCTTGCTCCCTCTCTCAACCAGACAATAAGTCAGTGGCGGCTCTTGCTAATGGGCATCTGGGGCAATGCCCCCTCAAAAAGATTCAAAGGAAATCTATGATATTTATATTTAATTTTGAAGATAGTCTTACTGTGGTTAATTATATAAGTTTGTATCTCTTCTAGAAAAGGCTCCTTGCTATCCCGTCTCGTCCTTAGCCTCGCTTCTGGCCCGCTAGTGCGATGATTTCATTTTACGGGCAAAGTTTTTTTTGCCCCTAGCCGACATGCGCACAAGCTAATTTTCGACCTCGAGCATTGCGAAACGCGACCTGTGATTGGCTTATTTGGAGGAATTCGGGGCAAGAAAAATTTTGCCAATAAAATGACATCATCGCTAAACAACAACCACATCTATATATGCTTTTTCTTCTGCGCTCCATGACGATCAACATCGAACCATGAATACAGTGAAAAATTTGCAAACTCGACCTTTCTATCGATTATCGCAGTATTGATGGTCTGCCCTGCCAACTGTGAAAGTCACGAGCCGCCACTGCAATAAGTTATCTGCATTTTAATGTGGCACTTAGTCTTAAGAATGTATTTTAAGGATCTTCGTACAGTCTTGGCTGAAGTTGCATGATTTTATTCATCGGAAAATTAATTTTCAAATTAATGCAAGCAAAGAGAATCCAACGAGACTTGCTGCCAAAATCCTTCGAAGCGCTCCTAACAATCTCACAATTCTATTCAGAAAAAATCGAAGCTCGTAATATTGAATAAAACAGTATGGTTGCGAGGGGGATGCTATTGAAAATGTGCTGATGTGCCAATATTTAGGCAAGGATTGAGCAGCGTTCGTCCCAACATAAAAATTCCCCCTGAAGTAGCTTTATTCAACGTTTATCAAACGCATAGTTTCTCTATTAAAGCAATTCGTATATATTTGTTAAAGCTCTACCTAGTGCGTGCAGTTGTGTGTGTGTTTAACCTCCGTACCAGATTTAATGTGCAACTTAAACTTTGCACAGGAGAAACAGCTAAAAGCTTTTCAAAGAAAGTCTCAGTCAATTAGATCCTTCCACGTCGATAAAAGTTTATTGTTTTTAATTGACGGAAACATCGGTTTTATCTTTTACATTCAAAGAAGGATTTTATTTCGGTGTTGCCCATCATGGCCCATCGAACAGCAATTGTCACAAGATTAGAGACTCTATCTTACCGAGCAAAACTATTGATCTAAAACGTCCGTTATTGAACATTTCTCTGTTTTCCTCTGTAACAATACATCTCAAACCATTAAAAAGGATAAATTTTAAGCCATAAAATCCAGTGGTACAGAAAGAAAAGACAATTTTCAAACCAGGTCAATCAAGTATTGTAAAATAACAGTTATATACAACAAACTTCAAAATGCACAACTAAGTCAGTCTTCTTCTACACGAATGCAAAAGAAAGAGAGGAATCTTCTCTTCCATTTACTTTTAGATGTTTTCAGTTTCTCTTCCTTAATCTTCACTTCCTCTTCTAAACAGGCACCTTCTTCTCTCAAGCCTGCAATCATGCGATCTTGCATCTCCAAAGCACGGGACATTTCTGCATTAACATGTTTTTTCTTTGCAAGCTCTTCGTAGATATCGACAAATTCTTTGTCGCTCGTCAGCTTATTCTTCAGAATTTTCTCACGGCTTTTTGCCAAGTGCCCCATGATCAAGCTCTTTTTGTCTTTTGCTGAATGCAAGGCCATCTTAAGACGGGCAAGACGAACTTGCTTGGCGTTCAGCACTTCCTTGAAACTTTTTCTCTGCTCAACAAGTTGCGCTTGTAAGCATTCAAAATTTTCTGAGCTTTGCCTATTCGTTTGATGAAAGAAGAGCAACTTGCCAGCGTAAGTCTCATTGGCCTGGGTCAACCCAATTTTGAAAAGCTCCAGGTTCATTGCTTCTTTGTTCAACTGAGATTTTGCTTGGTTGAGGTCAAAATCAGCAATTTCCATGTCAAACTGAGCCCCTCTAACCCTATCGTTAGATATGAGAATTTGGCGTCTCAGCTCATCCATCATGTTGCTGTAGTCGTTCTAGAATGGAAGTAAATATTTTATTGGCTATCTAACAAAAAGTTGTTCAACTTAGAATTTTTCTAAAAGTCTAAATAACCTTGCTTGTCCTACATGCTATAGCAAGGTTCAGCCCAAAGCAAAACACAACGCATGTTCAATTCACTTACTAATGCTAGAGGAGCTACTTAATCGAGAGCCGAGTTTTATGAATTTGTGAAACACGCTTATGAAAACAACAATTCTTTTTAAGGACAATACCGCAAACCAATACACAGACAAAATTGATCGAATATTAATGTCTGTGTCAAACTTACCTCAACCATATTTGAATAGAAGCTCAGTTTCTCATTCTGCACCTTTTTCATTTCTATTATTCTTGCAAGTAATCCATCTCTTCTCCTGAAGAAGATACAAATAGTAATAACATAAAATTATGTCTTTATGTCAGAGCAGTACATATTCTTAGTTGACTAAAAAGGACTTGCAAAAGCAAGAACATGGATTAAAAAGAGGAAGGTGACATTAAACTTAAGCGCAGTTAAAAAGAGAGAAGCTACTCAGCAGTTCGAGAAAGCAAATTGTATCTTGTAAGATATGACGCATAAATCAATAAAAGATTTACATTCATATTTTAATGATTTTGTTGGAATGAAATGCTACAGATGGGTAAATGTGGACTACCTCAATAACTTTGCAAACTATTTTCATTAAAAGAAAAAAAAATATATAAGAGATGACGTTTGATAATTTTCAAAGTTGCGCTTTGTATGAAAAAGCATGGTCCAAGGGGACGTGTGGAGGCCACAAAAGAGAACGTGAAACTCGGAGTAGCAATTTAAACCTATTTCCTTTGCACGCAGGAAATTGTACATCAATTATTGCATATTCATGCAACATCGGCACAAAACAGTAAATCAGTATATTGTTATTTTCATTATCTGTCATCTATATAACATTTGAGAATCTTTTCCATTTACGCAATAAGAAATATCTATCACATTATAGAAATATTGATCATAATAAAAGTATCATATTTTTACGAAGAAGAAAATTCGACGGTAAAGAAGAATGTTTTTACCTAAAAAGTTCTGCAAGCTCTGATTTCAAACTTGCAAATAATTGATCTAGGTGGTCAAATTCATTGAAAGGTCTCGTGAATTCTTGAACTTCCTGGGCATTGTATCCATTCACTTCAGTCATCATGCCAGTGACAGCATTTCTAAGTATGATTCAGAATTTCTTCATGACAATTAACGTCAAATACATTATTATTTACGCAAATACAGCAAAAAGTAGATTTCTCGATTTCTATTACAAAAACTAAAATAAAAACGTTTATGAACTGCTCCCTACCATTCTATAGATTCGAACAATTTTATGCCTTTTTCTGTCACTTTCTAAAACTTTCTATGAATACGTGGCAGGTTTTAAGTTAAATTGGTTCTATAAATCACGCAAAAAGAAAAAAGAGCCTGCCATAGCTGATGAAATTACGAAATACGCAACAAGAAACATTGTATACCATATAGGGATAAAGATACGATGAAAGGTATATGTTGGCGATTAAGAAAACGAATATAGAGATCTCTTTGATTGATTGGTTGATTGACTGCTTGGTATGATTGATTTTTTTTTTTTCTCATCAATGATTCAACATTTGGCGCTGTTTATATACCAAAAGGCCGCCGGTTCACACATGTTTAGAACAAAACTTGGTATGATTGATTGATTGATTGATTGATTGATTGGTTGATTGATTGATTGATTGATTGATTGATTGATTGATTGATTGATTGATTGATTGATTGATTGATTGATTGATTGTTTGTCCCTCTGTAATACCATTCAGTGAAAGTGACTGAAATCTATTATAAAAACGAACTGAATACGTAAGGTTCAATGTTAGCGTTTCATACATGTCATTATCCTAACAAATATAAATCATTTTTACCTTTGCTGAGAAATGCATGTCTCTTGATTGGCATAAAATGCTTTCGATACTTCTTGATCACAAGATATGTTATAATTGACACTTTCATATTGCTCTGGAGCGTAATGTGGAGATGTTCCACTGGTTGGTGGCAAGTCACTGCGTAAAGAAAAGCATTTGTAAAAGAAAGTTATGATATGCATTGCAATAATCACATTGACTTTGAAGTGAACGTTGGATTACGGACGACGGTGCTTTCAAGGAGTAGATGTAGAATTTTGCAAATTGCGTACAGAAAACGTTTTGAAAAAATTGTGATTCCAGGAATGTAGCAACAACACAGTGTTCAAGAAAATATCCGAAGCAGATGAAACTTGTGTTGGCATCCATTATAGCATTGAGACATGTTATGTGATAGCCAATGACAAGCAATTTTTGTAGTTTACTGTGGATACCTATCTTTGCGGCAGAAAAAGTCTACTTATGGGTTAAAGTTCTACATAAAGTTAGAAATAAATGGTAGGATGATAAAATGACTTATTTAAAGTTGAAGATTCAGTATCCATATGTCACATAAACTTAAAGTGATGTTCATACCATCTTAAATATATTTGTACAATTTATGTCGATTGATTGGAACTAAGTACCTAAGTATCAAACGTGAAACTAGCTCTTTCTTTTAACCTATTGAATACGAAACCTGGTTTATTGTATAAACGTACCTTTCATAGGACTGCCAGAGATGGTAGTCATCGCAATATTCTCCCTCTGATTTTTGTGTATTGTACGACACTTCACCATCACTTAAAAGTGGTTGCTCTATGTCATTGGCGAATGCTTGTTCCTCTTCATAGTCACTGAAAAATAAGAAAATTTGAAGCTTGAGAATGACAAAACCAAGACTTTCCCACAAGTTTCACAGATCTTCATTTCCTCAGTGTGCAGAGACGAAACTTAGAAAACCTAGACAGCTCCGTGAATCAGGAAAACTTTTAATATCAATGACACTGTTATGATGTTGATGACTCAATGGCTGTAGCCATAGGAGGCCATAAGGGGCCATAGGATTACACTAAAACACCGGATGACATATAAAAGGGCAAGATACCATCAGCAAAAAAGAGGCCCAAGTGACCTTTTACTTAAGGAGACGATTTGGCATTGGACCTTAGTTTTAGAAGCATAAACTTATGTATGAGTATATGCACATTACAATTTCTTTGTAGAATTATTTGCAGTGAATCCTATCTAAAAAATAGCTCATAAGATATCACCAAGAAGAATTACCTCTGAGCGTCTTGCAAGCATTCATCTTCTCCGTTGCTTTTAACATCGTGCAGTTTCAGATTCCATGCATCAGCTGGAAGGTAATCTGCGGTATCCCCTGAATCTTCAGCGGAAATCGGTTGCTCAGCATTGTTAGGAGAACTACAAAAAAAGGAAGGACTGAAAACCAGATATGACAATGTTGTCAGAAATACTTTTTAAAAATTCTGATCAAACTAAAATAGCCTGAGTCAGCAACATAATGTTACAAATAAAGAACGGTAATTAAAGGCGTCAAAAAGCGATAAATGTTTAGAAGAGGCAAAGACAATTGAAATTCTAAGAAAATAACAAAAGTTCAGGTAAGCTAAGATATAACAGACAAATAATTAATCATTTCAACAAAATATTATATTTTTCCGTTCCAATATTTCAGAAGTTTTCATTGTCAAAGTTTCCTTAAGAATATCGTTTGTTGTGAAATTTTTCAAAAAATCTTTAACTTCCTCAATGAGTTATTGAGCTCAAAACCATCTAAATGTTGTTTTTAAAGAAAGAAATGGCCAGAAAATATCTAATTGATTATTTAATATTGATTTCTAATATCTTTATTACTCAAAAGCATTAAAATATTGCATTGAAAAAAAGGCCAGCGAGAAAATATTTCTTTGAATATTAACTGAAGCCTTAGAGTTGAAATTAACGAACTAACCTTTGTTCTTCATCAGAAGTTTCGCCAAAATCGTAGAACTGATCGGCATCTGCATAAATTGATCCATCTGAGACAGCAGAAGCACTGCATGAATTCAAGGCGTCTTTCCTAAGAAATAAATCCAGGATTTTGTAAGCTATTAAGAAAAGGTTTGTAATAACACAGTTATAAACATAAATAATCCACAAAGATGTTTCAGCTTCACAATCATGAATAAGACTTTAAAGATAGATCTGAAAATCTTACCTTGTAAAACTGCCATTGTGGTTTCCTGCAGCTACGTTTTCGTCAAGATCATCACCATCTTGACTGAAGGTCTGCAGCAAATCATGAAAAATCGAGCCTTCTCCATCCCGACCATCTGCAACAACTCTTTTTGTGTCTTGGCACGAGGCATCTTGAGTTTTGAACACATCCTCAGCAACTCTGAAAGGCTCTGTTTGGATACGCTGATTGTTAGGTTGGTCTAAAGAAACCTTGAGTAAATCTTCCATCTTCAGTGATATCTCATCAATTTTGATATATCAACAAACACTAGTATATTTCAATCACTGCCTGAACTTAGCTCTGTTCATTCGAATCTCAGCTTGTAGGCAATGAACTATCAAACGCGACGCTATTTATGTCTTACTGGATCAATCTGACGTAGCAAATATTACGTCACGATTACACTTGCCGCATTAGCGACTGTGACGTGATTAAATTAAATGCATGCAAAACAAACACTAGTCATTCGGAAAATGTTCGCCTTTTATGTATTTTTGGAACAGGTGCGGCTTCTATCTAAAACTGATTATGTTATTCGTAGTACACTCAGATTTACTACAATGTCATCTTTAAAACTTCACATCGTGAACCATTGTATTGCTTATGTTTATTTACACTTGTTTCTGCTTTTTTATACAAGTTGTAGCCTTTATCAATTGTTCACACCATTCACCATTCCTAAACTTCGTGGAATAGCGCCAAAAATCATTGTGTAACACGATCCGAGGCATTCCAGTTTGATAACTATGGGTTAAAAGAAGCCATAAAGATATTTTTAAAACCAATGATGCAACTGAAGCAAATCGCACTGAAGTACCCCCCCCCCCCCTTCCCGGGGAAATCAACCAACTGAAGTTAAAGAACAAAAAGTATCCTTGTCACAACTTGCTATTCTGTTCAACATGCAAAACAAAGTTGGGTGATACCCTCGGGGAAGGGGTACTCAACATTATGGCCTGACAGGGGGTCCGGTCAGGGTCAAAGAGGGGCAACGCTATAATTTTAGAAAACTACCTTCAAATGGTACCATCCATTTCTTTGTGATCTCCTGGTCCTTTTTTGACAAATTGTTCTTGTTTCAGGGAAGATACATCTTGTTCATTACCTATAACAAATTGCAAGCTTAACTGAGCAGTTCAGTTATTTTCGAAAATGGGCCATATGAATTTCTATTTTGTAGGTATATCCTATAATATTCCTGTTATATATCCAATTTCTTATAACATTTTGGAAAATTTCGTTGTTAATGACACCACGTTTCACAGTGACCATTGCAACTTTAAGAGTTGTGCACGACTAGAATGAATTTTAGGCAGCGAGGTAGTGATATGGTAAAAAAGCCCCATGAAATTCAATGATTTGTATTCTACAATTGTTAGACTTGAATAGATCAGTTAAGATCGACAAAGTAATCGAGTAAAAACCTAGGTTCCTTGCTACCGATTCAGTAATCAAAGACAACGGTCATCGCCTGTCCAAAGTTCCTAAGTTTCACTTTCTTTGACAAAAAAATACTCAAGCATTTTTTGACAAAATTCATGACAGAATCTGGCCAAATCATGACTCTCACCTTTATCAGATTGATGCCTTAAAGGAGTATCAAAACGAAGTCGCAATATAATCATTTTTATATATTAGATAGACGTCTTTACCTAAGTATTTCAAGAATCTAACAAGAATAATAGAAAAACATTTCTTTCAGCCAACTGATGCAGAGAAGAGACCCGACATCTCTGGAAAGCAAAGCGTATCAAAGAAATAAAAGCATTTTAAGCTTTTAAGGATCATGTGCGCTCACAGGCCTTCTCATTATAAATTCTAAGTATATTGTACCACATGGTCTGTTTTAACGCGGTAAATAGCAAAATGTTATGTAGAAACAAATTACAATGAAATTTGTAGATGTAAGATGGGAATGTCATAACTTGGTCCAATTCCTGCCAGAAAACTTTGAAACACGCACTTGCCCAAATGAGTTTGGAAAGAATAAAGAGTTACAAGTTATCTAAAGCGCATCCGCCTTCCAAGACAATGTTAGTTGTAGAGTCAGAAAATGTAACTTTTTGAAATAAACTAATTAGACAGGACATAAAGCCTGACAATCTAAAATTCAGCCTAATGTTTGCTTTCTCGTCGGATTCTGTAGAAAGGGCTCCAGAATTTCTTAATTTTTTGAGAATGTCTTTTTGAAAATGCCTGGATGTCACGTGACAGATGACGTCTCTTAATAGAATAATGAAAAAACAAAATAATCGTTAGCTATTCACTGGGGAATTATTCTTAATGAAAACGAGATATTTCGACTCGTCTTATTGCAAATTCTCGATTCATGTATATCTAAACATGATTTGCGAAAATAGACTTTTTTCAATATGACGACATCACAAATTTTGCATGAAAGATCCTATTGCTATAAAACGATACATTGACATAAATTTGTTTCATAACGATATAAGCATGGTATAATGATATATTGGAAAAATGATATAAGCATTTCTTCTATGCTTTTTCAGTCAAATTCTTAATATTTAGTTCATTCAGATCTAACTTTGGAAAGTAGCAATATCCAAAATTTGAAAAAGGAAGTCACTGTTTCACGAGTCAGTCACGTCTAGTTCAGTCACGTCCAACGAGACTTGCTGCCAAAATCCTTCGAAGCGCTCCTCACAATCTCACAATTCTATTTTGAAAAAGGCGAAGCTCGTAATATTGAATAAAACAGCATGGTTGCGAAGGGGAAGCTATTGAAAATGTGCTGATGTGCCAATATTTAGGCAAGGATTGAGCAGCGTTTGTCCCAACATAAAAATTCCCCCTGAAGTAGCTTTATTCGACGTTTATCAAACGCATAGTTTCTCTATTAAAGCAATTCGTATATATTTGTTAAAGCTCTACCTAGTGCGTGCAGTTGTGTGTGTGTTTAACCTCCGTACCAGATTTAATGTGCAACTTAAACTTTGCACAGGAGAAACAGCTAAAAGCTTTTCAAAGAAAGTATCAGTCAATTAGATCCTTCCACGTCTTTAAAAGTTTATTGTTTTTAATTGATGAAAACATCGGCTTTATCTTTTACATTCGAAGAAGGATTTTATTTCGGTGTTGCGCATCATGGCCCATCGAACAGCAATTGTCACAAGATTAGAGACTCTATCTTACCGAGCAAAACTATTGATCTAAAACGTCCGTTATTGAACATTTCTCTGTTTTCCTTTGTAACAATACATCTCAAACCATTAAAAAGGATAAATTTTAAGCCATAAAATCCAGTGGTACAGAAAGAAAAGACAATTTTCAAACCAGGTCAATCAAGTATTGTAAAATAACAGTTACATACAACAAACTTCAAAATGCACAACTAAGTCAGTCTTCTTCTACACGAATGCAAAAGAAAGAGAGGAATCTTCTCTTCCATTTACTTTTAGATGTTTTCAGTTTCTCTTCCTTAATCTTCACTTCCTCTTCTAAACAGGCACCTTCTTCTCTCAAGCCTGCTATCATGCGATCTTGCATCTCCAAAGCACGGGACATTTCTGCATTAACATGTTTTTTCTTTGCAAGCTCTTCGTAGACATCGACAAATTCTTTGTCGTTCTTCAGCTTATTCTTCAGAATTTTCTCACGGCTTTTTGCCAAGTGCCCCATGATCAAGCTCTTTTTGTCTTTTGCTGAATGCAAGGCCATCTTAAGACGGGCAAGACGAACTTGCTTGGCGTTCAGCTCTTCCTTGAAACTTTTTCTCTGCTCAACAAGTTGGGCTTGTAAGCATTCAAAATTTTCTGAGCTTTGCCTATTCGTTTGATGAAAGAAGAGCAACTTGCCAGCATAGGTCTCATTGGCCTGGGTCAACCCAATTTTGAAAAGCTCCAGGTTCATTGCTTCTTTGTTCAACTGAGTGTGTGCTTGGTTGAGGTCAAAATCAGCCATTTCCATGTCAAATTGGGCCCCTCTAACCCTATCGTTAGATATGAGAACTTGGCGTCTCAGCTCATCCATCATGTTGCTGTAGTCGTTCTAGAATGGAAGTAAATATTTTATTGGCTATCTAACAAAAAGTTGTTCAACTTAGAATTTTTCTAAAAGTCTAAATAACCTTGCTTGTCCTACATGCTATAGCAAGGTTCAGCCCAAAGCAAAACACAACGCATGTTCAATTCACTTACTAATGCTAGAGGAGCTACTTAATCGAGAACCGAGTTTTATGAATTTGTGAAACACGCTTATGAAAACAACAATTCTTTTTAAGGACAATACCGCAAACCAATACACAGGCAAAATTGATCGAATATTAATATCTGTGTCAAACTTACCTCAACCATATTTGAATAGAAGCTCAGTTTTTCATTCTGCACCTTTTTCATTTCTATTATTCTTGCAAGTAATTCATCTCTTCTCCTGAAGAAGATACAAATAGTAATAACATAAAATTATGTCTTTACGTCAGAGCAGTACTTATTGTTAGTTGACTAAAAAAGACTTGCAAAAGCAAGAACGTGGATTAAAAAGAGGAAGGTGACATTAAACTTAAGCGCAGTTAAAAAGAGAGAAGCTACTCAGCAGTTCGAGAAAGCAAATTGTATCTGGTAAGATGTATAAATCAATAAAAAATTTACATTCATCTTTAATGATTTTGTTGGAATGAAATGCTACAGATGGGTAAATGTGGACTACCTCAATAACTTTGCAAACTATTTTCATTAAAAAAAAAATATATATAAGAGATGACGTTTGATAATTTTCAAAGTTGCGCTTTGTATGAAAAAGCATGGTCCAAGGGGACGTGTGGAGGCCACAAAAGAGAACGTGAAACTCGGAGTAGCAATTTAAACCTATTTCCTTTGCACGCAGGAAATTGTACATCAATTATTGCATATTCATGCAACATCGGCACAAGACAGTAAATCAGTATATTGTTATTTTCATTATCTGTCATCTATATAACATTTGAGAACCTTTTTCATTTATGCAATAAGAAATATCCATCACATTATAGAAATATTGATCACAATAAAAGTATCATATTTTTACGAAGAAGAAAATTCGACGGTAAAGAAGAATGTTTTTACCTAAAAAGTTCTGCAAGCTCTGATTTCAAACTTGCAAATGATTGATCTAGGTGGTCAAATTCATTGAAAGGTCTCGTGAATTCTTGAACTTCCTGGGCATTGTATCCATTCACTTCAGTCATCATGCCAGTGACAGCATTTCTAAGTATGATTCAGAATTTCTTCATGACAATTAACGTCAAATACATTATTATTTACGCAAATACAGCAAAAAGTAGATTTCTCGATTTCTATTACAAAAACTAAAATAAAAACGTTTATGAACTGCTCCCTACCATTCTATAGATTCGAACAATTTTATGCCTTTTTCTGTCACTTTCTAAAACTTTCTATGAATACGTGGCAGGTTTTAAGTTAAATTGGTTCTATAAATCACGCAAAAAGAAAAAAGAGCCTGCCATAGCTGATGAAATTACGAAATACGCAACAAGAAACATTGTATACCATATAGGGATAAAGATACGATGAAAGGTATATGTTGGCGATTAAGAAAACGAATATAGAGATCTCTTTGATTGATTGGTTGATTGACTGCTTGGTATGATTGATTTTTTTTTTCTCATCAATGATTCAACATTTGGCGCTGTTTATATACCAAAAGGCCGCCGGTTCACACATGTTTAGAACAAAACTTGGTATGATTGATTGATTGATTGATTGATTGATTGGTTGATTGATTGATTGATTGATTGATTGATTGATTGATTGATTGATTGATTGATTGATTGATTGATTGATTGATTGATTGTGTCCCTCTGTAATACCATTCAGTGAAAGTGACTGAAATCTATTATAAAAACGAACTGAATACGTAAGGTTCAATGTTAGCGTTTCATACATGTCATTATCCTAACAAATATAAATCATTTTTACCTTTGCTGAGAAATGCATGTCTCTTGATTGGCATAAAATGCTTTCGATACTTCTTGATCACAAGATATGTTATAATTGACACTTTCATATTGCTCTGGAGCGTAATGTGGAGATGTTCCACTGGTTGGTGGCAAGTCACTGCGTAAAGAAAAGCATTTGTAAAAGAAAGTTATGATATGCATTGCAATAATCACATTGACTTTGAAGTGAACGTTGGATTACGGACGACGGTGCTTTCAAGGAGTAGATGTAGAATTTTGCAAATTGCGTACAGAAAACGTTTTGAAAAAATTGTGATTCCAGGAATGTAGCAACAACACAGTGTTCAAGAAAATATCCGAAGCAGATGAAACTTGTGTTGGCATCCATTATAGCATTGAGACATGTTATGTGATAGCCAATGACAAGCAATTTTTGTAGTTTACTGTGGATACCTATCTTTGCGGCAGAAAAAGTCTACTTATGGGTTAAAGTTCTACATAAAGTTAGAAATAAATGGTAGGATGATAAAATGACTTATTTAAAGTTGAAGATTCAGTATCCATATGTCACATAAACTTAAAGTGATGTTCATACCATCTTAAATATATTTGTACAATTTATGTCCATTGATTGGAACTAAGTATCAAACGTGAAACTAGCTCTTTCTTTTAACCTATTGAATACGAAACCTGGTTTATTGTATAAACGTACCTTTCATAGGACTGCCAGAGATGGTAGTCATCGCAATATTCTCCCTCTGATTTTTGTGTATTGTACGACACTTCACCATCACTTAAAAGTGGTTGCTCTATGTCATTAGAGAATGCTTGTTCCTCTTCATAGTCACTGAAAAATAAGAAAATTTGAAGCTTGAGAATGACAAAACCAAGACTTTCCCACAGGTTTCACAGATCTTCATTTCCTCAGTGTGCAGAGACGAACCTAGACGGCTCCGTGAATCAGGAATACTTTTAATATCAATGACACTGTTATGATGTTGATGACCTATTGGCTGCAGCCATAGGGGGCCATAGGATTACACTGAAACACCGGATGACATATAAAAGGGCAAGATATCATCAGCAAAAAAGAGGCCCAAGTGACCTTTTACTTGAGGAGACAGTGTCTCATCAAGTAGATTTGGCATTGGACCTTAGTTTTAGAAGCATAAACTTATTAGTATATGGACATTACAATTACTTTGTAGAATTATTTGCAATGAATCCTTGCTACAAAATAGCTCATAAGATATCACCATGAGGAACTACCTCTGAGCGTCTTGCAAGCATTCATCTTCTTCGTTGTATTCAACATCTTTTAGTTCCGGATTCCATGCATCAGCTGGAAAGTAATCTGCGGTATCCGCTGAATCTTCAGCGGAAATCGGTTGCTCAGCATTGTTAGGAGAGCTAGGAATAAAATGGAGAAATAATAATCAGGTATGAAAATATTTGTCAGAAATACTTTTTAAAAATGCTGATCAAACTAAAATAGCCTGAGTTAGCAACATAATGCTACAAATAAAAAACGGTAATTAGAGGCGTCAAAAAGCGATAAATGTTTAGAAGAGGCAAAAACAATTGAAATTCTAAGAAAATAACAAAAGTTCAGGTAAGCTAAGACTCTTTATTACTCAAAAGCATTAAAATATCGCATTGAAAAAAAAGTCAACGAGAGAATATTTCTTTGAACATTAACTGAAGGCCTTAGAGTTGAAATTAACGAACTAACCTTTGTTCATCATCAGAAGTTTCGCCAAAATCGTAAAACTCATCGGCATCTGCATAAGTCGATCCATCTGAGACAGCAGAAGCACTGTATGACTTCAAGGCGTCATTACTAAAAAATAAATTCAGGATTTTGTAAGATATTTAGAAAAGGTTTGTAATAACACAATTATAAACGTAAATAATCCACAGAGATTTTTCGGTATCATTTTTTCGAATAAGATTTTAAATGTTGATCTGAAAATCTTACCTTGAAAAACTGCCATCGTGGTTTCCTGCAGCTACGTTTTCGTCAAGATCATCACCCTCTTGACTGAAGGTCTGCAGCAAATCATGAAAAATCGAGCCTTCTCCATCCCGACCATCTGCAACAACTCTTTTTGTCTCTTGGCACGAGGCATCTTGAGTTTTGAAAACATCCTCAGCAACTCTGAAAGGCTCTGTCTGGATACGTTGATTGTTAGGTTGGTCTAAAGAAACCTTGAGTAAATCTTCCATCTTCAGTGATATCTCAATTTTGATATATCAACAAACACTAGTCTATTTCGATCACTGCCTGAACGTAGCTCTGTTCATTCGAATCTCAGCTTGTAGGCAATGAACTATCAAACGCGACGCTATTTATGTCTTACTGGATCAATCTGACGTAGCAAATATTACGTCACAATTACACTTGCTGCATTAGCGACTGTGACGTGATTGAATTTAATGCATGCAAAACAAACACTAGTCATTCGGAAAATGTTCGCCTTTTATCTATTTTTGGAACAGGTGCGGCTTCTATCTAAAACTGATTATGTTATTCGTAGTACACTTAGATTCACTACAATGTCATCTTTAAAACTTCACATCATGAACCATTGTATTGATTATGTTTCTTTATACTTGTTTCTGCATAATCATTTTTATACAAAATGTAGCCTTTAGCAATTGCTCATACCATTCATATACACCATTCTTAAACTTCGTGGAATAGCGTCAAAACCGTTGTGTAACACGAACTGAGCCACCCAAGTTTGATTACTATGGGTACCAAATCAAATGAAGCCATCTAGATATTTTAAAATCCATGATCATAAGAATGATGCAACTGAAGCAAATAGCTAGTTGACGAACACCTAGTTAAAGAACAAAAATGATCCTTGTCGCAATTTGCTATTCCGTTCAATATGCAATACACAATTGGATGGTACCTTCTTACGGTCCATAGGTAAGGGCCCCGTGTGCCTTTTATACGCCACTGGCTGAATATTTTGTAGATATATTCTACATTAATCCTGATATATATCCAATTTCTTACAATATTTTGGAAAATTTCGTTGTTAATGACACTACGTTTCACAGTGACCATTGCAACTTCAAGAGTTGTGCACGACTAGAATGAATTTTAGGCAGCGAGGTAGTGATATGGTGAAAAAGCCCCATGAAATTTAATGATTTGTATTCTGTAATTGTTTGATTTGAATAGATAAGTACACTTACCCATAATCTTCCTTCGTAGCGACTATGATTTGCCTAAATAAAATTTGACCAAATTGGAAAGGAACTAAATTTTCATGGAAGAGTTTAAACTTGTGAATCGGCAATATTCAACAACGCAGCAAAAGAAGAGACCAAAGCTTCAGATAAAATTTCCTAGAAGTTCTTAAAAAGGAAGCAAAATTCCCAAAATTTTCAGAAAAATCTTGATTATTAGAGGAGGCTATTGCTGTTGCCCCAGTTCTCAAAGCCGTTGCACCCTTGTAAATAGTCCAGGCGGAGAAAGGGGGTATCGTCTCCTGAACGCGAAATTTATGACAGATTCAGTTTAGTCAATCTTGGGGAGCTGATTCCGAAGATCTGTGTTACATGGTTAAATTCGTGTCTAAGGACCACGCGGATTTAGGGCGCCCCCTAATTATTGTTTCTCAAATCCGCCCTTGCCTATCAGTATGAAAGATCGACAAAGTAATCGAGTAAAAACATAGGTTCCTTGCTACACGATTCAGTAATCGAAGACAACGGTCATCGCCTGCCCGCAGCTGCTAAGTTCACTTTCTTGATCAAAAAACACTCAACCATTTTTTGACAAAATTCATGACAGAATCTGGCCAAATCATGTTGTATATTGTACCACGTGATCTGTTTTAACACGGTTAATAGCAAAGTGTTATGTAGAGACAAATTATAATGAAATTTGTAAATGTGAGATGAAAATGTAATAACTAAACATGCACTTTTGCTTGCTCAAGGGCGTTCAGAAAATAACAGTTACAAGTTCTCTAAAGTGCACCCCCTCTCAAAACAATGTTAGTTTTAGAGTCAATAATTTTAACCATCTGAAACAAACAAATAAGACAAGGCCTATAGCCATCTGATTCTTGTAAAACAAAAAAGACATGGCCTATAGCCTGACAATCTGATATTCAACCAAATGTTTGCTTTCTCATCTGATTCTTGCTAAACAAAAAAGACATGGCCTATAGCCTGACAATCTGATATTCAACCAAATGTTTGCTTTCTCATGTGATTCTTGTAAAACAAAAAGGTATGGCCTATAGCCTGGCAATCTGACATTCAACCAAACATATGAGCCAAACATCATTGCTTTCTCATCTGA